TGCAAAGGCAATATATGTAACCAAAATATTTGTACCCCCCTGATATTCTGAAATTTAAAAAAAAGGAAAATAAATTTTAAAAAATTGCCATTACAAAAAAGAAAGAAAGGGAATACAGTGCACGTACCTTTTGTTGGGTGTCCCCTCTCTGCGGCAGGGTTGGGGGAAGCTTCTTACAAAACATGTTAATAACCTTTCATCAGGTCAGGTCAGGTGAGATTTTTGCCACCAAAGGAGTTATGAAAAAAAACTTTCAAACTTTAGCACTTTTTGGATTTGAGGATTGTCAGTAAGGGATTGTGGACCTGACCTGCCTTTCCTACAGAATTGTTGCGAGGATTAAAGGAGACAAAGTACGTAAGTACCTGGTGAATGGCAGGAGTTCAATAAAAGATATTTATGATTTAATATTAACAAATACAAATTATAGCAACATGTTGTCATAAAATTATGTAAATATTTAATCAAATAGAATGTTCGCCGGTGTCCACTGGTGCCATGAGCTGACCATGATTTGCTATCTAAGTGCCTACTCCTCGCCAGGCAACGCTCTGCGCTTTCCAGGTATTCTCTCCTTCCACCAACTCCATGGTCCCTCGTGGTGGCTTTAGCACTCCCCTTTTGTGAATGAGCTAGCTACTCTAGGCCCCGTGAGGTTCTCCGAACTCACAAAGCCCATAGGTGGCGGGGTAAAGGTTGAATGCAGGATTCTGGCTTTAGGGGCAAAATTGAGGCATTCGGATTACTCCTGGGGGAAAAAATCACAAGCAGATATTTGGAGAGTAGACTCTGTGAAAAGGGAAGGCTGTGTTCTAGGACTTTCCCCCAACCAGTTCCCAGCTGCCGGGTCAGCTCTGAGCCTGGCAGGCGGCAGCGTGTCAGTGGCGCTTGTCCAGGGCTCAGCAGGCCGGGCTCTCGGCTCTGGGCCCTTCGCTGTCACCCTCAGCCCTGACATATGGGCAGGCTCAGTCTCACCCGTGGCCAGCTTCCAATTGTCTCTATTTTCTTCCTCCCTTCACGAGAAACTCCGGGCACAGAGAATTTACCAAGGAGGAGCATTTTTCCGGCTCACGACTGCTTCTGTCTAGGCCTGCAAGGTCTCCTGTTGGCTCTGGGGAAGGCATTTAGGGCTCCTGAATATGCTACTTTTAAAATTCTATCCAACACCATCTCCTTTTCTGCCACTCACAGCTCTTCTCCCAGGCACACACTTGCAGTGATTTCTAGTTCCTCATGATTTGGTGAGACCACCTCTTCTCTTCTACGCTCACGCTCTAAATCCCAATTATTTCTACCTCCTAGACTGAAAATATTTCTTTTTCTTTCTTTTTTTTTTTCTTTTGAGACAGAGTCTCACTCTGTTGCCCCATGTAGAGTGCAGTGGTGTCAGCCTAGCTCACAGCAACCTCAAACTCCTGGGCTGGGGCAATTCTCCTGCCTCAGCCTCCCAAGTAGCTGGGACTACAGGCACGCCACCAAGCCTGGCTAAATTTTTTCTATTTTTAGTAAGGGACCGGGTCTCGCTCTTGCTCAGGCTGGTTTTGAACTCCTGAGCTCAAGTGATCCTCCCGCATCAGCCTCCCAGAGTGTTAGGATTACAGGCGTCACCCCTAGCCAAGGGATTTCTTTTTGACCAAATAAAGACTTTGAGGGTTTTGCAACTCCTTGTTAGCACTGCTAGGCCTCACCAGAAAGCAAGTTCTTCTCACGACACGCCCTGTCTTTCCCCATCCCTCAGATATGCCTGAGTCTCCAGATCTAGCTGCCTGCACCATCTGTCCCGGTCACCATTTTAGCTCAGGGCCCAGCACAGGGCCTGGCACGAGCAGGCCGCCATCCACAGTGACTGCTAGATTTCGACCTCAGGCCTCCCGCCTAGAGCCCACCTCTCCCTCCTCCTAGAAAGCCTCTTCCTGATTCCCCAGGCCCAGGCGAGCTCTTTACTTCCTCTGGGAAGTCTTCCTTAAATTCCATGGGTCTTTAAGTGTTCCCTCCCAGATCACCTATTTTGCTGCTAAGCACGTTGCACGTAGTTTTGCACGTGTTGCCCAGCTAGACTAGGAACTCCTAGAAAGCAGGAGTCATCTTTCTGTCCCTGTGCTTACCACAGATCTGGACACATTATCTGGGTCACGTGAATCCTGTAATTACCTTCAAAATGTAGGCAAGCCCCTCACGGGAGAGCGATTCTGTCACAGTGAGAGCTTTGCCTGGGTTCTCCAGGTAAATGAGGCCCACAGTTTCAGATGCTGTGAGGAGGGGCGGGAGACACCTGCCTCAGGGGCGCTGCATTTCCTAAAGGGCAGACTCTTCCATCTTACCCTTACCGTGGCCACGGAGCAGGAAAGCGAAAGAAGCTTATCAAAAGGAACATCAATATTCATAGGTAAATCATTAGCTTTCAACCAGGGTCAAAAAATCTTTAAGCTTGTCAACTGTGTTCCGTCAGCACCAGGTCTGTGCTACCGGGGCCTCTGCCACCAGCACAGGGGCAGGCAGGTTGCTTCTCCCCAGGGAATGACACGGCCCAGAGACGCTGAGGATCCTACACACCAGTATCCTTGAGTGCCAACCCCAACATCTGCGCGGCTCTGGGGATGATGTGATTAACGGGGTGCAGGGCTACTTTTATTTATTTCCAGAGCTGGCTTCTCTCAGGCACACCTTGTTCCACAGGACTATACTCACCATTTCTTCCTTTATCTTTTAATTCAATTAAAACAACATTTATTGAGCCCTTCACAGGGGCAAGGAACCATGAGATACTGTGGGAAACTTAAAGAGGAACAAAACTGACCCTAAAGGAAAATGAGCAAGATTAAAACATAATTTTTTTCAGATAAAAATCCTTATCATGCTGTATAGATAAAACTGAATTCCAAGAACACATCGCACACCTCGTATGAGGAAAGGCTGTGCTACGTGTTGGGGTCCAGAGGTGAGGACAACCTTGGTCCCTTAAGAACTTGCTCTCCAGAAGACAGTATCCTCCCAGAGCAAGCCCCTGGCACCAAGCAGGATGGTTACACATTCCTGCCCTCATCACCCCTCACAGGGCCCAAAGACCGCTGAGGGTTAGCAGAAGGAAAGTGGTGGGGCCGGGCCTGGGTCGTGCCCCTGTAACCTCAGTGCCATCTCTCCACCCCGGAGCTGGCCCCCCCAGCTGGAGTTCCTGAGTCGCAGAGTTCATCGAAGAGGTGGCCCCACACCCTTACAGGAGATCAGAGGCCCCTTCCCTCCAGGCTCTGGTGAGGAGGGTGCTTTGGAGCCGTCTGTCTGGATGGAGAGCACGGGGAGACCTCCTGATGGTAGAGGTTGGGGAACCCCCAATGCAGAGTGTAGGGTTCGGCTGGTGGAGGGGACAGGGGGACCCTGGGATGAATGGAGCTTGGTGTACCTGTTCGGCGGTGGCTGTGATGGGTGGGGATAGAAGGCTGGACACGCCAGGATGCAAGGCGCTGGGGGATGCCTGGCTCTGGGGCTGCGGTCCTTGGCACAGCGCCCGCCCTGTGCCCGTCGGCTGCAGGCAAACGGCCGGCGCCCCACCCTCGGCCTGGCCACCCACCTGGGCATGCCCTGTCGTAGTCGAAGCAGCAGTCCCCGGTGAGGCGACAGGCTTGGTCGCAGAAGCACGTCCCGTAGACCCTGTCCAGCCTCCAGCCGCGGGCGAAGCAGGCGGGGTCCCGGCCGGGGCAGCAGCGCCCAGCCTCTGCGCAGCCCGCCAGGGCCCCGGGCCCCAGCCGCGCCAGCGCGCACAGCGCCATCCACAGGGCCCTCATGGCCAGCGCTCCGGCGGCGCCTGCGACGCGACAGGTCCTTGGGGCAAGTGCTGCGCTCCTCCGAGAGCCGCGGCCCCCGAGCTGCCCGAGCGGCCGGCGCGGCACAGCCCGGCCCTGCCCGGCGCCCGGCCCCCGCCCTCGCGCGGCCCCTCCCCGGCCTTGGCGGCGCGCCCGTCGGCCCGGGCGGCGGTGCGGCTGCCCCTGCCCAGGTGGGGAGGGCACCGCAGCCTCCCCGGGACGCTCCCGCCGTCGGCGGTCCGGGCGCCGCCCCGTCGCCGCTGCCAGCCCGCCCGCGCCCCCGCCCCAGCCCCGGGGGACCTCGGGGCCCGGGGAGGGGAGCGGAAAAGCAGGTGTTCGGGACGGGGGAGGGCGCAGCCTGGAGCCAGGCCGGAGCGGCCACATTTCCTGGCTCCAAGCTCTGCTTCCTAACCTCTGGGGACACGTTAGCGAGCGGGCATTTTCACTCTAAAGACATGCGACGAAGAGCGCCCGATGTGCCCCAGACGAAAGGGTGTCACCAGCGCCCTGAGCGCGGGCCGCCCTGCCTTCGCCCAGCAAAGTCCGCTCTGCATTTTTTCCCGCTCGCCACGCCTCGGAGCCGCGCCGGCCACAGAGAAGCAGGGAGATAAGACCAAAGAAGCATGCTTTCCTTCTGCCGCATTTTTGTAGTGGGATTTTTCTGCCCAAGGAAAATGCCACTTTGCTCCACTTAAGAGGCAATTAGTGAATATGAAGGAAAGAATAAATAAGATATAAATGGTGCTCCGCTTTCTGTTAAAGCCTATTTCCGAAAAGAAACCCTGTTTGTTGATATTTTAGAAATAACTTCCACTTTAATAAGTGCGTGCCTAACTTTTTATATACGCCCCCTCCCCCGGTGTATTACATTTTGTGCGCCTCACTCCTTTTGTTCACCAATATTTATCCTGGAAGTTTTATTTCTTTTATGTTCCTAAATCATTTACGCTAATATGGTTTTTGTGAGAAACCAGGAATATAACGTTTTCTGTATGTGTGAACCTAAGAAATCAAATTAATTTCAGAGTCTAACTTCTTTTCTCAACAAGGACGTCTCATAGATTAATTTTCTTTATTCATCAGAGAGAAAGTAACAAAAGTAAAAATGAAAAACCTTTACTACAAAAATAGTAAAACAACACAGTAATCAAGCATAAAAAAAACACATTGGGAAATGAAAAAGATTTAATACATTATAAGAATTGTACCTTATAAACTCTAATCACAGATAAAAAGTTTGACCAATGCAGAGTGTAATA